ATGTAGTATAAATGAGTTAAGTTAAAATTGAAAGATTGACAGTTTGAATGAAGAAACAAAATGCTGTTCATAGGAATACCATTTAAAATATAATAATAGGAAAAGATTCAAAGTATGTAATCAAGAAATATGCATCTCAAGGTCAAATAAAAAACTGTATCTTCATGTTAATATCAATATAGACTTAATGGCAAAAGTATTTACTGAAAATAAAGAAGGCCATTTCATAATGACAGAAAGATACCTTTTTAACATATGTGTATGCCAATGAACATGGCCTGTAAACAGAAGTAAAAGGACAAATAAACTTAGACCTAGCCCAGTGGTAACTTGTTGCCTAACATACCTGAGGCCCTAGGTTCAGTCCCCAACACTGCAAAACACAGAGACAGGTATCTTATGCAAAGTAGACTTTGCATTCATTTTAGGCACTCATAGAATGTTTACAAACATTGATTATATCCTATTTAAAAACAAATCTGAACAAATAAAAGGAATAATATTTTACATGGTATGGTATGTTTTCTGGTTACAGTGTAGGAAGCTAGAAATCAAAACCAAAGCTAATTATGAAATTCTTATAGGTTTGAAATGAGAAAAAAATACGTTTAAATATTTAATAGCTATCAAATTATTTTGACCTGAATGATATTGAAAATGCTGTCTGTCAAAACTTGTGGGACACTGCTAAAGCCAGCTTAATTATGTGTATATCTTTAAATACATGCATCAGGGGAAAAAATGCCAATAATAAATAAAAGAATACAATAAGCATTCTTTTCAGAAATTTGGAAAAACAGTAACAGATTAAACCCAAAGGAAGCAGAAGGAAGAAAATAAAACTAAAGCAGAAATCAAGGAGGAGAAAAGTTCAAAATGAAGAGAATGAGTACATATTGTCTACCTATTGCTGCATTATAATTAAAACCACCCCCAAATTTAATTTAATACTTACATGAACAATTTCTTGTACTCCCACTTCTGTGACTGGATTCAGCAGAGCTGCTTGGGTCTGAATCTGCAGTCCACTGTAGGTTGGCAGGCAGTTCTGCTTTTGAGAGATTCCTAGCATTGATGGTTACTGGGTCACATGTATTTCTTCCCACAATAACCTTAGTGCATATTTATCCTCATGGGAGCTGTAGGGTCTTAAGAACCACATATAAGGTTGACTTTTAACTGGCATATCCTTTGTATCAGCCAAAGCAAGCCACTGCTACCCTAGATTCAAGAGGTGGGAAACATCGCAAATGGTAGGAGTATGGTGAAGAGGAGGGAAGAATACTGACCCTGTTTTTTTAGGGGAGCAACTTGGGGGGACCAGGAATTGAACTTGGGTATTCAACAACTGAGCAGCCTCCCCAGATCTATTTTGTATTTTATTTAGAGAGAGGGTCTCACTGAGTTTGAACTCGCCATCCTCCTGCCTTAGCCTCCCGAGCTGCTGGGATTACAGGCTTATGCCACTGTGTCCAGCTCTGAACCTGTTTAAAATCTTTCCATCCCAATCAATAAAAGCAAAGGAGAATTATTGGAGAATGAAAGAAAAAGGGAAATGTGCATAAATAGTAAAAAGTGAAAAATGCTGTCTGGAAAACTTGTGGGACACTGCTAAAGCCATCTTAGTTATGTGTAAATCACTACAGATCTTATATATATTAAATAGAAAATTAGACAAACTTTAATCCAAGAAATTTGACAATTTAGACAATATGGATATGTTTCTAGATAAACAGTGTTTAAACAGTGTATCAATTGACAATACTAAGGAATACAAATCAAAGAAACTAAATCCATAATTTGAAACTTTCTACAGAGAAGACTGTGGTCCCAGGTGGTATCACCAATTAATTCTGTTCAGTATTTCATGAAGAAATAACACTAGGCTTATAGAAGCTTACCCAAAGAGGAGAAGAAGAAAGAATACTTTCCAATATGTTTTGAGGCCAATATGACCCTAATGCCAAAACCTGAGAAGCATATTGTGAGAAAGGAAAATTATAGGTCAGTTCTGTTCATGAATGTATTTTTTAAAAATCACCAGAATGCTGGGAAACTGAATCCACTAATTTATTAGAAGAATAATGAATTATGATCAAGTTGAGTTTCAGAATGGAAGGTTAGTTTAATATTTGCTTGTTTAAATTTATTATAATCTAAAAAAGTATATATGTAAAAATGTCTACACATTACTTCAAACTTTTAGGGGTGAACTTTTGAAATCTTTAATCTTGAATTTTGGTGTATTGACAGTGTTGTAAAGGATAGCAAGAAGAAATAAAAATATATAGTTGGAAGGAAAAAATATAACTTATTTGCAAGTGATGTGATCATTTACATAAATAATTCTAAAGAATATACAGGAAAAAAATAAATAATTCTAAAGAATATACAGAAAAAACAAGAATCAATAATAATAAAACAAGATTGTTGCATACAAGTTTATAGGAAAACCAATTATATGTTTTTTTTTTTAAGGGAAAAAAATTTTAAAAATATAATATACGACGACAGAAAAAAATTCTATGAATTTCTAGGAGTTAAGTTTTAAGTGAGAGTAAAGGCTTAATGAAAAATGCATTAAAAGTTTACGTTCTTAAGGGAAAAATAAAAGATGACCTAATCATATGGAGAAGTTATATACCATGTTTATGGTTTTGAATATACACTATATTATAGTAGAATTCCAATGAAAATTCTTAAAAATATTATTTTAGAAATTGAGCAACTCATTCTAAAATATGTGTGAAAATATGTGGCAGGCCACAAACAGCCAAGACACTCTTGAAGAGCAAGGTAGAAGAACTTGCTTTACTGCATACCAAGATGTCACTGTAGTTAATACAGCATGATATTAAAAGAAAGACTAAATAGATTAGTGAAATAGAATGGAGAGCCCAGAGACTGAGGTATAGTTATATAAGGTTGCTTATGAATGGTTTATATTCTGAGAAATGTGTTGTCATGTAATTTTGTAGCTATGGGAACATCGGAGAGTATGCTTACACAAACCTGGATTGTATAAGTTAGTCTGTGCAGCCTCTTGATGCAGTCAAGAGACTGTGGTAAACATGAGATGTGTGAGGCAGCTGCCAGTGTAATATGCTGTGCTGTTTTATTACAAAATATAATTTGCCATTGATCATATCCTTTTCTGTGACATCCTAAGCTTGATTGTTAAGTGAGCCAAAGGGTTGAGGTTTCCTGAAGAGAATGTGCAGTGGGATTAGGAGACAATTAATTGCCTACTCTATGCCAAACTTAAACTATGTATGCTGTGTGCACAGCTGTCAGTATAGCTCTATCAGATAGTGTTACCACCTTCATTATGTAGTCAAGGTTTATTTGATGTGACTCTGAAATTCCTAATTAACTGTTTCATTGGAGCTTGGATATCAATTGAATGAATTTTTGTGTTTTCAGAGTTTAAGCACTTCACCTTAGTATACTATTAGTTTTTTTCAGATTGGAGATGTGGGATGGTAAGGTTGACTGGGGATTCTAAAAAGAAAATTCCTTGTTAAAATAGATGACAGTTGTGTTTAGACTCCGTCAAAAGGTAGATGAAATATTATAGCTAAGAAACTGGTAAAGAATAACAGGGTTTATTTGAATGTAAATAGGTGGCTTGGGCAAATTTCAGAATCGGGGGTCTTATAGAGTTAGTCAAGTGCATATAGATCAAAGGATGAGAGTCTCAACTAGGGGCTGTATCAGAATCCCTAGGGGGAGGAGACTTTTTTCAGAGAATGCACGTGCATTAATTACCCCCCTTTCACATGAGAATCACTTTCTCAAAGGCAAGCCCCTTTGAGGCAGAGAGCGCCTTTGGAGTATAGAAGGGTGAAGGAAGTACCCAGCTTCTCGTGACCACCAGTAAATATTCTAGCTTGTTACTTTGATATAATGATACACTAACAGTAGGATAAATGCAAGAGAAAGGTGGGAAATTGTATGCATAAGAATCGGTATTTTTTTATTATTAAATAAATGAAAACCACTCATGAGTTTTTGTGGACCTGGTGGAAGACACTCATTGTTTTTATGCAGATGATATGCAAATGAAGAAAATATACTTTCAATACGCACACACAGATATTTGGTTATTTACTAATTAAAATAGCTAAACAAGATAATGACAGAAGGAAAAAGCAGAAAACAGAAATAATACATTTTAAAGTAAAATGTCTAAAAACCATTTGCCTTAATATAAAGAAACTTTCACATGTGAGTCTAGAAGTTTCTGTTGGATGAAAATAAGTTTCATTTATACACTTGCTTATATGACTGACTTATTCATGGAAAGAAAGAGTTTAGGCTCCTTAGAAAAAAATAGAAGTGTAAGTTAAAGATGGAAATGGAAAAAAATAAAGGAAAGTAAAGATGCAGACATGAAATTTTCCAAGAAATATGATGAAAAATATATATTCTCAAGACTTAGCATGTAGGGTAGAATACAGATTTGGCCCTCAATGTTGTAGCAGCCCACTCAGAATTGTAATGTATACGTTTCTATCTGGAGAAAGTATGACTTTTTTGGTTATGAAAAGTAGGACTTTTCCTCAGGCGCCCCCCCCACCCCCAAATCATACAGGGTAATCACTACTAACAGAATGAGCAATTGATTCAGCACCCGACATCTGGAAGAGACAGAAATTTATAGAACAGGTTTATATTCTTAGGTGGCATCTAATCATTCGTCAGCTCTTTAATATACTCTGGTTTACATTATGTACTTGTGGACAATTCTGTATAGTTCCTGTGTGTAGCGGGTATTGTTTCTAATTCATAGTTTGTGTTAATACGAATGATAATTTTATTTAAAACAATGAGAAAACAATAGTTTTATCCCAAACTTGTCATGAGATTCATGAGGGCTCTAAATTTTACTTCTTATTACACATAGGTACGTACGTACGTACATACATACATATATACTTTAAAATAACTTTAAGGACCATAATAGCAAATGAATAATTTGTGGTTCTTTGTTTTTCCAGTTTAATTTTGTTGGGAGAATCCTTGGACCCAGAGGACTTACCGCTAAACAGCTTGAAGCAGAAACTGGATGTAAAATAATGGTCCGAGGCAAAGGCTCAATGAGAGATAAAAAGAAGGTAAGTCCTTGAAAGACGGGCAAGTCTTTGTGTGAATAATTTACTTATATTTTTTCATGCTAATAGTAAAGTTTCATATCTTTTAGGTGTAAAACTTGATACTCCATGTTAGGAACTCTGAAACATTTTTTAAGGTGTTTCTCTGATTTTTCCCCCTTTGTTAATCACCATTTTACACTTAGGAATAAAGTATTATGTTACTCCATTGTGTTAATTTAACTTTAATATTTTATACTTGAGAAACCTCCATGTGGAAATTAGACTATCATGTTGTCTATGAAAATATGCAAGTAAAAGCTTGAAAAGCCTAAAAGTTTTCTTTTGATGAGCTGTAAACGGGATTGGTCTCATGAATTTTAACTGTAGTTGTATGTCAAATCACTGGGACAGTTAAAAGACATAGAAATCTGTTAAAACAAAGGCTTATTACTAACCATATGAGATTGGTTTCAGCAACATTGTATCTCAACTGTAAATTATTTTTAGGCATTGAAAATTTTTGTTGTTGTTGTTGTAGATGGACAAAATACCTTTGTTTTATTTATTTTTATGTGGTGCTGAGGATCAAACTCAGTGCCTCATGTGTTAGGCAAGTGCTCTACCACTGAACCACAACCCCAGCCCTTGTGTTTTAGTTAGGCATTTTACTTTAAAATGTATTATTCCTGTTCTTTCTCCTCCTACCTTCTTTTCCTTATTTTGCTAGTTTAATGTGAATATCAAACTCTTTTGTCTTGAATTTTATTAGGGAGATTTTATTTACCTAGTTTTATTTTACAGTAATACTATAAGGTAGAATGCTTTTTAAAAAAGAGAGAGAGAGACACTAATCTAAAGTACCTAGATTTTGATTGCTAAAGGTGAAAGTTATTATTAGGAAGGGTGATTTTTTTTTTCTTCTTCTTCTTCTTCTTCTTCTGATACATTGACTTGAAAGTGCCTTCGTGCCATCAAATAATAGAGTTGTGATCAGCTTGTGTTGGAACTTATGTGTTGAATTGTTCTATGGAGCTGATAGAATGAACAGCACCACCAACAAGATTGCTGGCTTCATTTTCTTCCTAATTTATACTCCAGCCCTCTTATAAGCTGTGTGGATTTAATTATCTCTACCACCCCTCACCCCACCTCTCCCCCCGCCCCCATAGACAGGACCATGTAGCTAAGACGTCTGAGGAAAAAAAGATATCATTATTTTAAAATTTTGTAGCTCTTTATTTTTCTGTTGAGTTTGAGGCATTTTCATGAGATTATAAAGTTCTTGAGTGTTTTAGATGTTGTATTTAAAAAAAAATTCATTAGGATCTTAAACATTTTAGCATCAACAGTGTGTCTTTTCAAGTGAGTGTTGCCATAAATCTTTGGTTTCCATGTTTGAACTTGGGATGACATTGGCATTAGTAGGAACTCCACAATTGCAAACAGCAGTCTTCACCCCACAATTTTTATATCAGAGGAAAGTCAGTGAAGAAAATATTTCCCTCTCCTGAGCTTCTGCTACTTCTGTAATAATGGCCTGCTCACTTCACTCACATGGTACTCACAGACAAGGATTAGAACTTAGAACTGTGTAGTTCAGCATCATGAATAAATAACATTATCAGCTGTCTTTCGCAGAAGAATTAAAATGATTAAAAGTGAGCTCTGCAACAGATTGCTTAGTTTTCAATCTTGGTTCTGCCACACAACAGCTTTGTGACCTTGGATAAATAATTTAATCTCTCGGTGCCATATGACATGGAAGTGATAATGTGATTGTGAGGGTTGAATGAGCTGCAAAGCACTTAGAATGCTGTTTGGCACCTAATAAGTTGTCAATTAATGTTCATGATGATTCTCAAAAGTATTTTATCTTGAATTATAGGCTGGATACATTTTATTTTTAGAGTCTTATGTAGTATTATGAGTGAATACTACAGTTTATTCAGCTTTGAAAATGAAAGACATTCTTATTGCTTGTATCTATCCTGTGTTATCATAGCTTTTCTGTTTTTTTTCCCCCCTAGGGGTTGGTGTTTTCAAATTCTGTCTTGACCACTTTGTCTTAATCACAAATAGAAACAGTTCGTCAGTTTTATTTTCTACTGTTGTCGACTAAAAGATAATTTTGTACATTGAACATAATGTAAGAAAAATAAAACAACAGAAAATAAAATTTAGCAATCAATTACATTTTACATTTGTTAAGATGATAGATTAACATGCTTTGTACATAGAATGTTAACTTGTATGGCTTCCGTGTAGTTGATAATGTCCTATGTAAATTTTAAAAATTCTTGTATAGATTTATAGCAACAAGAATGTTTTTTGGAATCTTCATTTAAATCTGTGGCACATAACAAAACTTTAACCACATAAGCATGTTTCATGCTGAAGTTACTGGGCTGTCCTCTTAAAATTGTTACAAGTAAAGTCAGAATGGGAGATTTTTATCATTTATTTCTTGGCTCTTATTTTCGTTAAAGAAAAAGTTATGACAAACAAATGAATACAAAAGTAAGTATTGATATAAGTCTGATTGAGGTGTATTTTAGAAGATTAAAAGGAAAAACCATTTTTTGTCCACATAGTTATCATTAGGTGTTAAAATTAAGTAACCTAGACAATAAAATAAATAAATAAAATTATAATAAATCTTAATTTTCTGATTGCCTAATTTAACAAAAATATGATGGGATGCTGGTATGCTGAATTCTTCACTAGCCCAATAGAGTGACAGCAGACTAAGTAATAGATGGACACAATACCTTTATTTTATTTATTTCTTAATGTGGTCCTGAGGCTTGAATCCAGTGCCTCACACATGTGCTAGGCAAGCACTCTAACACTGATCTACAACCCCAGCCCTTGCTATGTGGTTACCTGGCACAGAGTAGGCATCATGGGGAAAAATTCTATGAGAAGAATTACCCTGTAGTTCAGGGTAAAAGTAAGTCTTAAATGCACCTATAGACACACACAGTAAAGGGTTGGCCAATAAAATACAAACCTTATGAGCTTTTAATTCTTTGGGGAAGATAGGCAATTCTGTGTCATTCTAGGCCACTGATTTTTAAGCAAAGTAAGTTAATGTGCTACTTTAATCATTTTCTTGGATTGGTATTATTTCAGTATTGCCTATGGGCTTATCAGCTTTTTTCTTAATATTTAATGGAATGGGGCTAGGTATCATCATGGAGCCTGAGGGAATCTCCTCCAAAGTCATAAGATCCTGGTAGGACTTCTAAAACTGTTAGGAACTGTTAGTGCCCATCTGTAGGAGGCAGAGTGGACTGTCTGCTCTCTTTGAGTATGCGGTAATAGGGCTTGGCTAGCAAGAGCCTTGCAAGTGAAAGTCAGCTGTTTGATGAATAATCCTTATTTACCAAGTGTGTACTTTGCCTCAAGCATTATTTTAAGTATTTTACATGCAGTTATTTTAATTAATCCAAGTTTTTTATTCCCATTTTGTAGATAAGGAAACTGAAGCTCAAGGAAGTTTTGAGTAATTTGCCAAAAGTCTTATGCAGAAAAGTGGCACTCAAGATTTGAACCTAAAATTATATTTTTTGGTACCCTACCTTCGAGTTATAAATCATTTTTAAGATTGATAACTTAAGAAATTTCTAGAATAACTTGAACATAGAACACTATAAACTTTGCCCCTGAAATCAGTATTATATGTGTTGTAAAGTTTCTCCAAGCTTTTAACTTTGCTAAGTGATAAATATGTTTGAAATTTGGCTTGTCTCTTAGAATGGAAAGAAAATCAAAATGTGGATTTTTTTCCCCTACATTTAACACATCATAGTACTTTTTAAAAATTTTATTCTTCTTAGTTATATGACATTAGAATCCATTTTGATATAATTATACAGGCATGGAACATATCTTTTTCTCTATATAGGACCCCAGTTTTGTGGGTATACATGATGGTGAGATTCACTCTGGTATATTCGTATATGAACATAGGAAAGTAATGTCATATTCATTCCACTGTCTTTCCTTTTCCTATTCCTCCTCCCTTCCATTCATTCCCCTTTGTCTAATCTGCTGAACTTCTGTTCCCCTTCGCCTTTTTGTTTGTTAGCTTCCACATACCAGAGAAAACATTCAATCTTAATTTTTTGGGACTGGCTTATTTCACTGGTCTCCAGATTCATTCATTTACCAGCAAGTGTCATATAGTCATTCTTTTTAATAGCTGAGTAATACTACAATTTCTTTACCCATTGGCATCTGTTGAAGGGGACCTAGGGTGGCTCCATAGCTTAGCTATTGTATCACAGCACTTCTGACATCAGATGTCTGGGGATTTCTCCTCACATACTCAGCAATCCACCAACCAGTCAGTTCTCCTGGGCCCACTAATTGAGTATCCTATAGTTAGTTCAGTTTAGACACTGTCTACTTGGAGGTAGTTTCAGATCCTCCTGCCTCCTCCCAAACTGCTGGGATTAAAGGCATGAGCCACCACACAGGGTTGTGTGCCTGCTTTCTGACTGCAACCTCTCATGTGTGTTTGTGGAATTTTCCACTGATGGCATCATGTGAGCGCTCAAAATGTTTTGCATTTTAGAGCATTTCATAAATTCAGTTTAGGTAAAACCTTGATTTTCAGAAATTCTCCCCCAAAGATTTAATCCATTTTTTCTAATGGAAAGCTGTACACTTGAGTACATGACTGTTGCAAGATAAATAATTTAGGGAAAATAAGTAATCACAGTTTTTCAGTTGAAATAGCAGAGGACTTCAGAGGTCACATTGAGGGCAGGGGGCGGATATATTTACATTAGAAGGAATGGTCCAGTCTCAGAAACATAGGTGTCAGTTAGTCCTAGTGTGGCAATTGGAAACATGTAAGTCATTAAAACAGAAGAGTTTTGTGCATGACTACATAATTGAGAAGTTGTTATGGAATCATAGTCATTACAGTGGTAAGTGAAGTCCACTTTTTGGGAGTCTATATGAATGATTTGTAGGGAACAATTTTCCCTATCAGTCTACAAATTTATTAGCTC